ATGTTCTTTTCATGCCTATTAACACAACCACCATTCTGTAGCCCATGGATCAAGCAGTAAGTTTGATTTTCAGTCTATTATTTAAGAAATCCACTTCATAAGGCTATAGCTGCCATACATCGTGATTCCTCTGATGGATGTGGGCAAAGTACATAGAAAACCTTGTGGAAAGAACTCACCACTCTAGATGCCATTAAGACTATTTGTGATTCATGGGAGGAGGTCAAAATGTCAACATTAACGGGAGTTTAGAAGAAGTTGATTCCAACCCTCATATATGACTTTAAGGGCTTCAAAACTTCAACAGAGGAAGTAACTCCAGATGGGGTGGAAATAGCAAGAGAATTAGAAGTGGAGCCTGAGGGTGAGCATACGTGAACTGATGAGGAGTTGCTTCTTACAGACGAGCAAAGAAAAGTGGTTTCTGGAGATGGTAATCTACTCACGGTGGAGATTCTTTGAACATTGTTGAAATGACAACAAAAGATTTCGGATATTACATGAACTTAGTTGATAAAGCAGGGACAGGGTTTGAGAAGATTGCCTCCAACTTTGAAAGATGTTCTACTGTGGGTAAAATGCTACCAAAGAACATTGCATGCTACAGAAAAATCTTTTGTGAAAGGAAGAGTCAATCCATGCAGGAAACTTCATTGTTGCACTTTTTTTTTTTTTTTTTTTTTTTTTTTTAGAGAGAATTAGACTCTCTCTCCCTCTGTTGCCCAGGTTGGAGTACAGTGGTGCGATTTCAGCTCACTGGAGCTTCCACCTTCCAGGTTCAAGTAATTTTCATGGCTCGGTCTCAGCCTCCCGAGTAGCTGGGATTATAGGCATGTACCACCATGCCTGGCTAATTTTTGTATTTTTAGTACAGATGGGATTTCACCATGTTAGCCAGGATGGTCTTGAACTCCTAGCCTCAGGTGATCTGCCTGCCTCGGCCTCCCAAGGTAGGTATGTAGATTTTTTAGATATAATGTCGTTGCCCACTTAATTGACTACTTTAAACATAACTTTTATATGCACTGGAAGACCAAACAGGTTCACCTTATTTTTTTTTTATTTTTTATGTTTTTTTTGAGACGGAGTCTTGCTTTGTCGCCAGGCTAGAGTGCAGTGGCACGATCTTGGCTCACTGCAACCTCCACCACCCAGGTTCAACCTATTCTCCTGCCTCAGCCTCCTAAGTAGCTGGGACTACAGGCACCTGCCACCATGTCCAGCTAATTTTTGTATTTTTAGTAGACACGGGGTTTCACCATGTTGGCCAGGATGGTATCGATCTCTTGACCTCGTGATCCACCCGCTTCGGCCTCCCAAAGTTTTATTTTGATACTTGCCTTTATCTCTGTGGTCTGGAACCAAACCCACAATATCACCAACATATGCCTATACAGCATAATCCCACATTATAACCACTCTTTTGCTTACATCCTCACCTCCATGAGCTTCTCTGCTTCATTTTTGCTGAAATACAGTTGTCTCTCAGTATCTGAGGGGGACTGGTTCCAGGACTCCCATAGATACCAAAAATCCATGGATACTAAAGTCCCTTATATAAAATAGTATAGTATTCACCGGGTGCGGTGGCTCATGACTGTAATCCCAGCACTTTGGGAGGCCGAGGCAGGCTTATCACTTGAGGTCAGGAGTTTGAGACCAGCCTGACCAACATGGTGAAATCCTGTCTCTACTAAAAACACAAAAATTAGCCGGGTGTGGTGACGCGCATCTGTAATCCCAGCTACTCAGGAGGCTGAGGCAGGAGAATTGCTTGAACCTGGGAGGCAGAGGTTGCAGTGAGCCAAGATTGCGCCACTGCCCTGCAGCTTGAGCGACAGAGCGAGAGCGAGACTCCGTTTCAAAAAAAAAAAAAGTATAGTATTTGCATAAACCTACATGCATCTTCCTATATACAGATGGTCCCAGACTTACAATGGTTTAACTTACAATTTTTAGACTTTAGGACAGTGTTAAAGTTATACTCATGCAGTATGTTCCTGGATTTCCAATGGAGTTAGTAGTTTATCTGGATGCAACCCCAGCAGAAGTTGAGGAATGTCTGTACTTTAAATAATCTCTAGACTACCTATAATACCTTAAAAAATATAAATGGTATATAAGTAGTTGTTATCCTGTATTGTTTAGGGAATAATGACAAGGAAAAAACTCTGTACATGTTCAGAACAGACACAACCATCATAGGTAAGCCTAATTACACTTTCAGTCTGTGGTTGGTTGAATCCATAGATGTGGAACCCACAGAAACAAAGGGCTCATTGTATCACAACCTTAGTTAAATCCAACTCTTTTTTACTCTATGCTTGATCTTATGCAACTGGTATAGTCAAAGAAAAATGTGTGAGCCATGATGTGCCACCTCGCTCTAGCCTGTGCAACAGAGAACCTGTTGCTATAAAAAAGAAAGAGAAATATATGCAGATTAGACTCATATTAAAATGGTCACAAACCAGAAGCAGGACATTAATACTGCCCAGCATTCCTATTCGATTTATTTTCTTCCTTCCTTCCTTTCTTTTCTTTCTTTCTTCCACTTTCTTTCTCTCCCTTCCTTTCTTCCTCTTTCTCTTTCTTTCTTCTTTCTTTTTTCTCTTTCTCTCTCTCTCTCCTTCCCTCCCTCCCTTTCTCTCTTTTCTTTCTCTTTCTTTCTTTCTTTTCTTTCTTTCCTCTCCCTTCCTTCCTTCCTTCCTTTCTCTCTTTCTCTCTTTCTTTCTTTCTTGGTTGAGACAGAGTCTTGCTCTGTCACCCAGGCTACAGTGCAGTGGTACAATCACAGTTCACTGTAGTCTCAATCTCCTGGGCTCAAGGGATCCTTCTTGCCTCAGCCTGCCACGTGGTTGGGACTACAGGTGTGCACCATCACTCCCAGCTAATTTTTTGATGTTTTTGTAGAGACAGGGTTTCACTTAGTTGCCTAGGCTGGTCTCAAATTCCTGAATCGAGTGATACTCCTACCTTAGCCTCCCAAAATGCTGGGATTACAGGTATGAGCCATGGCACCCAGCTCCCATTCTATTTCGTTTCTTTTCTTTTTTTTTCTTTTCAATTGAGATGGAGTCTCACTGTGTCAACAGAACGAGGAGTGCAGTGGTTCAGTCTTGGCTCACTGTAACCTCCACCTCCCAGGTTCAAGCGATTCTCCTGCCTCAGCCTGCTGAGTAGCTGGGATAACAGGCATGCACCTCCACCACGCCTGGCTAATTTTTGTATTTTTAGTAGAGACGGGGTTTCACCATGTTGGTCAGGCTGGTTTCCAACTCTTGACCTCAAGTGATCTGCCCTCCTCTGCCTCCCAAAGTGCTGGGATTACAGGAGTGGCCACCACACCCAGCTCCATTCTATTTTCTTAATCATTTCCTTTTCTTACTCAGACTATCAATGAGAAAATCTTGGCTGACAGTGAAACCGCATGTTAGAAAGTTAGGCCTCAACAATATAAATACGCTAAATGAAAAGCATTATACTCTTACAACCTTAAAAGAATAAGTTACCCCTTTGTCTCAAACTACATCAGTAACAGCAACAATAATCGTAAAGAGAGGAAGATTGTTGTCCTTGATGCTAAACTGAATTTTTAGGTTCTCTTTACCATATGAGAATACATGGAAGAATCTGAATGATATGCCAAATGAGTATGAGAATTTTTTTTTTTTTTTTTTTTTTTTTGAGACAGTCTTGCTCTGTAGCCCAGGCTGGAGTGCAGTGGCAAGATGTCGGCTCACTGCAACCTCTGCCTCCTGGGCTCTCCTTCCTCAGCCTCCCGAGTAGCTGGGATTACAACCGTGCACCATGATGCCAGACTAATTTTTGTATTTTTAGTAGTGATGGGGTTTCGTCATGTTGGCCAGGCTGGTCTCGAATTCCTGACCTCAAGTGATTCGCCCCGCCTTGGCCTCCCAAAATGCTGCGATTACAGGCATGAGCCACCACACCCGGCAGAATATGAGAACGTTAATGAGATTCAGCTCAATGGCTCCCAAAATCTACTGGAAAGAAAGCAGATTGGTATTAGGCCATTCAGACACATTTCAGACAAAGGAAAGCATGCCCTAAAACCAGTAATCTTAGGAAAGAAAAAAGCCAACTAGCCTAAACATTGATTTTTAGATGTGAAAGAATTTTTTTCCTCCTCATCAGAGTCGTTTTGAGGAATAGCAGGACCAAGGAGGGGGAAAAGAATCATGAGTTACCAGGTCCTTCCTTGAAGCACGGAATGCCTCGTAACACAATACCCTCCACACCTTCCCTGTTCACACACTTTAACACATGGAGGTAGGAGGGAGGCTGGAATCTGGGTATGAGTTCACAGCAGGTTCCTGGGGTCAGAGCCCTGGGAAAGACGAGGTTCTGAGACAGGTAGCTCGCTCTCAGAGTTCACAAAGAAGTAACCTCCCAGGTGTTTCCAATCTCACAGCAAGTCAATGCCTTCTTGCTGGAAAACTTCATTTAGAGTTCAGTATCCAATTTCCCTCTTGCAGACATTTGTGTGTGTGTGTGTCAGCCGCAAGCAGCTGTGAGGAGAGAAGGGAGAAGAAGCATCCAGGAACCTACAGCCACGACTGAAAGTGACACCGCAGTGCCACCGCAATCAACGTACATGAAAAGGACAAGCACCTCATATCCCTGTCACGCAAGCACAGCCACTAACTCACCTGTCACAGCCTCATAACCGCACCCACCGTCAAGGAGTCACATCTCAGCCTCTCACACGTACAGTTTCTCTCTCACACATTCTCAAACATTCTCCATCTGACATATACAACATTCTCTCACGTGCGCACTCAAATACCCTCCTCTGCTGTTCATGCACCCACGGGCCTGAGATTCCGATAACAACTGGTCATCCAACTACAGGCTTCCAAGGTTTAAGGGCTTCCTCCACTACCCTGGCCGGTTTAGGTTGGGCTCCAATGTAACTTGATTGCCCAGAGCTCTGCCTGCGAGTACCCTGTGCCTATCCTGAAATGAGTTCAACTCACCTTGCAAAAGAACCACGCGAAAACGGAAGGGAAGCCATAGATTGGGTGTTCCCGTTGCCCTCTGGGAAATGTAGTTTAAGGCTAAAGATCCATGACCGCGGTGGCTTGTGGGAGAAGTGTCTCGGAACCCCACATCCCGGTTAGATTTGCAGGCACCGCCGGACGCTGGCTCCCGGAGGTTTTAGTTTCCCTCTACCCGGAGTGCGCAGACACAGAGACTTACTGCGCTGGCGAAGATGGCTGAGGCGGAGCCATGTTCGACTTTTCCTCGGAGTTCTGAGGGTTTCAGTGACCACAGAAGGCCGAGAAGGGGAATCCGAACTCGGAGCTGCCGGAAGCCTCGGGCTGGTTGAGTGTAGAGCCGGTCGGGGAGGGGGTTCAAGGTGTGGCCGCGAGGGCGAGCGTGGGGGATTGGGTATGAGCTCTCGAGGGCGGGGACTCTGCTCTGTGTCCCCTGAGGAGGTCCAGCCTTGTTATAGGTATGAGAAAAGTAACTTTTAAAAAATGGACAAATATTAATTGTATGTTTTATATACTAATAGAGTACAATATGCTGTTTTGATCTATGTTTACAAATGTGAAATGATTAAGTCAAGCTAATTAAATCTGTCACCTCACTTTTTTGTGGTGAAAACATTTAAAATCTACTCTTTGAGCAATTTTGAAACACACAACACATTATTTATATAGTTGCTATTCTGTGCAATAGATTACTAAAGTTTGTTCCTGCTGACTAACTGAAATTTTGTACTCCTTTAATTAATATCTCCCTTTCCCCCATTTTTCAGTCTCTGGTAAACACCATTCTCTGCCTCTTAAGAGTTAGACTTTTTTAGATTCCACAAATACCACTTATGTGGTATTTGTATTTGTTTTTCTGTTCCTGGCTTCTCTCACTTAACATAATGTCCTCTCGGTTTATCCGTGTTGTCACAGATGACAGAATTTTCCTCGTTTTATTTTTTTATTTATTTTTAAAATCTATCTTTTATTTATTTTTTAAAAACTCCGTCTTGAGACAGAGTTTCACTCTTGTCGCCCGGGCTGGAGTGCAGTGGCACAGTCTCAGCTCACTGCAACCTCTGCCTGCCCGGTCCAAGCAATTCTTGTGTCTCAGCCTCCCAAGTATCTGGGATTATAGGCATGCGCCCCCACATCGGCTAATTTTTGTATTTTCAGTAGAGACAGGGTTTCACCATGTTGATCTGGCTGGTCTCGAATTCCTGACCTCAGGTGATCCACCCACCTTGGCCTCTCAAAGTGCTGCGTTTACAGGCGTGAGCCACTGTGCCTGGCCAATTTTCCTCTTTTTAAAAAGTGAATAGTATTCCTTTATATATACATATATATGTATATGACATTATACATATAATATATATAATATATAACGTTGTCTTCATTTGTAACATGCTGGACATCTAGGTTACTTCCATATCCAATGCAGAATAATACTGCAGTGAATATGGTAGTGCAGTTCTCTCTTCAGCATGCTGATTTCAATTCCTTTAGCTATACACCCACAGGTGGGATTGCTGGAACAGACAGTAATTCTATTTTTAGTTTCTGATGAATCTCCATATTATTTTCCACAATGGCTGTATTAATATACATTGGGAAATGTACTTACTTTTGATGCTGTTGGGAATGGACTGGTTTATTCAATAAATTGTGTTAGGTACATTGACTAATTAGTGGATAGAAGTGAAGTTATATTTACTTAATTCTTTAAGGCATAGTCAAAACAGACTGAATAATTAAATGTAAAAATGATCTGGAGAAAACGTTTTTGGTTTTTTGTTTTTGAGATAGAGTCTCGCTCTGTCGACCAGGCTGGAGTGCAGTCGTGCGATCTCGGCTCACTGCAACCTCTGTCTCCCGGGTTTGAGTGCTTCTCCTGCCTCAGCCTCCCAAGTAGCTGGGATTACAGGCATGTGCCACTGCACCTGGCTAATTGTATATGTTTTAAAATATTGAGTTAGGAATAGATTTTCTAAGCTAAATTGACGTGAAATGCTAAGGAAATAGTGAGATTTAACTTGATAATTATGTGTCTGAATGAATCAGCCAATTAATAAAATTAAAACAGGCCAGGGGCTGTGTTGCATGCCTGTCATCCCAGTACTTTGGGAGGCCAAGACAGGCAGATCACTTGAGTCCAGGAGTTTGAGACCAGCCTGAGCAACACATCAAAACGCTGTCTCTACAAAATACAAAAATTAGCCAGGCGGGGTAGCATATGCCTGTAGTCCCCACTACTTGGGAGGCTGAGGCAGGAGGATCACCTGAGCCCAGGGAAGTCGAGGCTGCAGTGAGCTGTGATCCTGCCACTGCACTTCCAGCCTGGGCAACAGAGTGAGACCCTGTCCCAAAGAAACTAAAATAAAGTGAAATGAAAACAAATACAAGACAAAAATGGATCGACTTAACACATAGTATGATGAACAGACATAGATAACAATACTGATCCAATGTGTTTCTGTTATCAAACTCTTGGTCACTAGTCTAAAGGAAATGGGAATGGTGACTATAAATTCACAACCATTTACAACATTAGAAATACAAATTATCATCAGATATATCAGACTCACAATTACTTGCCCTTTAAAAAATTCATCCTGCTCTCCATAATTAAGAAAATATTGATAACTCTTTTTTTCCCTTAACTTAGCCCTTTGTGGTCCTGAATCTCTGAATTTGTGTTCACATCTTAAGACTCTTTTTTTGTAATTATTTACTGTAGCTTTTTGTCTTCAGTTGAGACATCACCTATATTCTCTTTACACTTTTCCACAAATGACTCAATTTTTTCGTAAGCATCATTGATGAGTTCCATGTATGTGATGATAGTGTAATGATAAATTATCAATGTGGTTTGCCTCCAGTCTTGTTCATTATTCAAGTGACTCTCCTTGGTTTAGCAACAGGTCAGGAGGTATCTATGACATTTTGTTCAGGTTAAGCAGTAAGAAGAAAACAAAATCTACATTATCTTTTTCATATTTTAAACACAAGCCAACAAATAATTTGGAAGGACCCGTGATTAGACAGTGAGGATTTTATGCTCCCTCAAGAGTAATTGAGATTGTTTAATTGTATGGAGGAATGAACACATCTCAAAGGGAAGCAAGAAGATACAATATTTAGATCACAAAATCATTAGGAAGTGGTTTTGCACCGTGGCTACACCACTGTACACAGGAAATATCAGGGCACAGTGGCGCACACCTGTAATCCCAGCACTTTGGGAGGCTGAGGCAGGTGGATGACCTGAGGTCAGGAGTTTAAGACCAGCCTGACGAACACGGTGAAACCCCATCTCTAGTAAATACGAAAAGTGAGCTGGGTGTGGTGGCACACACCTGTAATCCCAGCTACTTGGGAGGCTGAGGCAGGAGAATCGCTTGAACCTCGGAGGCGGAGGTTGCAGTGAGCTGAGATGGTGCCATTGCACTCCAGCCCGGGCAACAAGAGTGAAACTCTGTCTCAAAAAAAAAAAAAAAAAAAAATTCACTGCCACAAACTTTTTCCCATAGGATGATGAAGGATTCCAGAGCCCCTGCTACCTCTAGGGGCTCCTCCCCCTGCCATACCACACATATATCTTGACAGGCCCTGTTACAGAGAAGAAAAGGCCCAGTAAATTAATATCACAATCATTGACACATACCCACCAGAAAACTCAAATTAAAATTTTGACAAAATTAAGTGTCAGCAAGAATGCAAAGATGTGAGAATTATGAGACATTGTAAGACTGTCAGTTGGTGTGTTAACTTTGGGATGAAACCAATGATACCTAGTAAAGCTGAAGATACGTTTACCCTGTAACCTATGGTTTTACCTCTTGCTTTATACTGTACATAAATACACACCAATGGTAACCAAATATAAATACAAAAATACAACAGCATCATTTATAACTTACAAAAATGAACACAACCCACATGTCCACCAACCATGAAGGGATACAAACTGGTGTACTCTTTTTTTGTTTGTTTGTTTGTTTTTTGAGACTGAGTCTCACTCTGTTGCCCAGGCTGGAGTGCAGTGGCACGATCTCAGCTCACTGCAACCTCCACCTCCCAGTTTCAAGTGATTCTCCTGCCTCAGCCTCCCGAGTAGCGGGGATTACAGGTGCGCACCATCACTCCTGACTAATTTTTGGTTTTTTATTTCTTTGTTTGCTTTGAGATGGAGTCTCACTCTGTCACCCAGGCTGGAGTGCAGTGGTGCGATCTTGGCTCGCTTCAACCTCCGCCTCCTGGGTTCAAGCAATTCTCCTGCCTTAGCCTCCCGAGTAGCTGGGATTACAGGCCCAGATAATTTTTTGTATTTTTAGTAGAGACGGGGTTTCACCATGTTAGCCAGGATGATCTGTATCTCTTGACCTCATGATCTGCCCGCCTCCGCCTCCCAAAGTGCTGGGATTACAGGCATGAGCCACCACACCTAGCTGGTGTACTCTTTTAATAGAATGCAGAATCGATGCTAAATGTGAATATTAAATACTTAATATTGAGTAATAGAAGCCAGGTGCAGCAGGATACAGACTATTACTCCAATTATGTAAGAGAAAAAACAGGCAAAATCAGACTATACTTTATGCATATAAAAATACATAATAAGGCCATGATTCATGCTAAATGAGTAGATTTTAGCTTCCCTTGCCACACGCAAAAAATGTGGGTATCTGTGAGATGATAGAGATGTTAATTTGTTTCACTATAGTAACCCCTTTATACTATGTATATGTATCCTATAACATCATATTGTGTATCTTAAATATACACAATAAAATACTTATAAAAAGAAAAACTTTTGATCAGATATGGTGGCTCATGCCTGTAATCCCAGCACTTTGGGAGGCTGAGGCATGAGGATTGCTTGAGCCCAGGAGTTCAAGAACAGCCTGGGCAACATAGTGAGACCCTGTTTCTATCAAAAAAGAAAAAGAGGCCAGGTGTGGTGACTCATGCCTATAATCCCAGCACTTTGAGAGGCCGAGGCGGGCAGATCACAAGGTCAAGTGTTTGAGACCAGCCTGGCCAACATGGTGAAACCTCATCTTTACTAAAGATACAAAACATTAGCCAGGCATGGTGGCACGCACCTGTAATCCCAGCTATTTGGAAGGCTGAGGCAGGAGAACTGCTTGAACCCAGGAGGCGGTGGTTGCAGTGAGCCGAGATCGTGCCATTGCACCCCAGCCTGGGCAACAGGGCAAGACTCTGTCTCAAAAAAAAAAAAAAGAGAAAGAAAATTGTGAAAGGATGCCCAACAGAATTAAAATGTTGGCTCTAAAGTGAGCTACTGAATGACGGGGGTGCATGGGAGAAAACATTACTTAACATTTTTATACCTATTGAATTGAATCCTATGTATGCATTATAAATTTAAATGTGCAATAATGCAGGTAACTCAAATGTGGGTATGCTTTGATTAGGACTTTGTATTTCCCATTTGCTCAACTTCCTTATGATTGTAGATGCATATGAATAGAAATACAAAATTTAAGGAGACACAGGACTTCTGATAGCCCTTTTGTCTTTCCACATTTTGTGTCTCTGGCTGTAGTTTGCCATATGTGTCCCTATGGCTAATGAGCAAAATGTTTTTCAGATGGATACCTGTGACCAAGCATTGCAAGTTAAAGATATTTCTGAATCTTGGACCTCTTAGTTCCTGTGAAGCCCACCAATGCATAATAAAGCAGAGAGGAATGTAAAAGGTTGCTGCATCGATAATCAACTTCTGGTGAGCAGTAATTACAGGTACTGTAAAATGAGACAATTATTGCTTTTCATCATATCTTGAACGAACTCCTACAGTCGATGATTTTGAACAAAACACCTAAGTTCACTCTCCTCTTTTCTATAATGAAAAGACATTATCCAGTAGAAGTTCAAGAGTAAAATCTGAAGGCAACTTATCTGACCTGGCCACATGGCCTTGCCACTTATTCAACATAACTTTCTACACACTAACCTCTCCAGACCTCAGATCTTCAACTCTCTAAAATGGAAACATAGTGGTATTTACCTCTAGAACTGCAGCTGAACTGAGCATTTTAGGGAAGGAACAAACACACACATGATAGATATAGTCAGATTATGAACCCAGTGTAGCCCAGAATACAGAAATTTCTCAGTAATAGAGATCCTCAAGAGAAGAATCAGATGTAGCCTATCTCAGTGGCCTTTCATGTGGCAAATGAAAAGTGAAAGTCCATAATGAGAAAGACATGGGCAGCCAGTGACACCATCCATTCAATGTAGACTCTCAACATACCTGACAGTCGTTACCTGTTATACCCCAAGCCAAAACATACATAAACCTCAAGCCTCAGTCAGAAATATTTATGGACAACCAGGTATATTATTCTGTGTTTCCAGTCAAAACTCAGGTAGACCACATTTTACGTGACAGGAGAAGGCACAGTTGATGCCCAGTTAACCCTGAGATCATCTCTGCCTGCAGCTTCCTATCATCACAGCAAGCTCTTTCCCTGCAGTGCATTGTCTGTATCTGCCCTTTGCTATATAAGTAGCAAAAATAAGCATCTGAAAAGATGCTCAACTAGGGAATTCACTGTGTCACTAGGGAATTCAAAATTCAAAAATTCACATTCAATATGTCACTAGGGAATTCAAATTAAAACAACGATGAGACACCGCTACACATCTATTAGATTGGCTCAAATCCAAACACTGACACCACCAAATGCTGGTGAGGATATGGAGCAACAGGAACTCTCGTTGATTGCTGCTGGGAATGCAAAATGGTACAGCCACTGTGGAAGGCAGTTTTGCAAATTCCTGCAAAACTAAACATATGCTTACCATACGATCTGGCGATTGCATTCTTTGGTATATACTCAAATGAGTTGAAAACTTATATCTACTCAAATCCTCCACATGAATGTTTATAGCAGCTTATACATAACCAACAAAGATTGGAAGTAACCAAGATAACCTACAATAGGGAAATGGATAAACTCTGAAATATTCATACAATGGAATATTATTCAGGAATAAAAAGAAATGAACTACCAAGGCATGAAAAGACATGGAGGAGGCCGGGCGCGGTGGCTCAACCCTGTAATCCCAGCACTTTGGGAGGCCGAGACGGGCGGATCACGAGGTCAGGAGATCGAGACCATCTTGGCTAACACGGTGAAACCCCGTCTCTACTAAAAATACAAAAAACTAGCCGGGCGAGGTGGCGGGTGCCTGTAGTCCCAGCTACTCGGGAGGCTGAGGCAGGAGAATGGCGTAAACGCGGGAGGCGGAGCTTGCAGTGAGCTGAGATCCGGCCACTGCACTCCAGCCTGGGCGACAGAGCGAGACTCCGTCTCAAAAAAAAAAAAAAAAAAAAAAAAAAAAGACATGGAGGAATCTTAAACATGTATTTCTAAATGAAAGAAGCCAATGCAAAAAGGCCACATAGTGTATAGTTCCAATTATATGCAATACTAGAAAAGGCAAAACTAGGCAGATGGTATTATAAAAGTTCAGAGGTTGCCAGAGGCTTGAGCAGAGGGAAGGATGAATAGGTGGAACACAGAGGATTTTTAGGGCAATGAAACTTTTCTCTGTGACCCTATAATGGTGGATATATGTCCTTATGCATTTGTCAAAGCCCATAAATGGTACAACACAAGGAGTGAAGCTTAATATAAGCCATGAACTTAATAATATCCATATTGACTCATCAAGCATAACAAATGTACCACACTAACAAGATGATAATAGAGGAAGTGTGTGTACTATGGTGTGGGGGGGATATTAGAGCTCAATATGCCCTCTGCTCTGTTTTTCTGTACACCTACAACTGTTCTAAAAATTAACTCAATTATTTATTTATCTTTTGGAGACAGGGTCTCGTGCTGTCACTCAGGCTGGAGTGCAGTGGTGCAATCACAGCTCACTGCAGCCCCAACCTCCAGGGCTCAAGCAATCCTCCCACCTCAGCCTCCTGAGTAGCTGGGACCACAGGTATGTGCCACCATGCCCGGCACATTTCGTAGGCATCTGAAAAGATGCTCAACACCATATGTCACTAGGGAATTCAGATTAAATCAATGATGAGATACCATTACACATCTATTAGACTGACTTGAATCCAAATGCCAACAACACCAAATGCTGGTGAAGATATGGAGAGACAGGAACTCTCATCTATTGCTGCTGAGAATGCAAAATGGTACAGCCACTGTGGAAGGCAGTTTTGCAAGTTCCTGCCATACTAAACATATGCTTACCATACTATCCAGCAAAAAAAAAAATAAGAATTTAAAATATATTTTATATACTTAAAAATACGTATTTAAAGAAATATATATTTTCTATATATTTTTAAAATAATGTTTTAAATTTTTTTGTAGAGACAGGGTCTCCCTGTGTTGCCCAGCGTGCAGAATCTATTAATTTTAAAAATGTTTTAAACTCTTGAGCAAGGAATTATTTGAAGAGTGAAAAATCAAATGATAGAATATTGATTGGTAAATTGCAAATGTTGAATATTAAATAATTTGGATTAATTTTAAATTCCAAAAAGCGAAACTTTAAAAAATATTTTTAAAATTTCCTAATCCCATGTCAATGCATGTTCATCATATTCAGAAGCCAATTTCAGAGAAGAAATAAGCGGTCGACAAGTTCTTAGGTTTTGACTTTGTTTGTTGACTATTTGTATTTGTGAATGGCGAAGTTTAGATTTTGTTCCTTTCTTCTTAGGGTATTGACTAATAATTTTATTAAGCCAGAGAGACAGTAAATTATAATTATTACCTGCTTGTCCATTTTATCTGTTATAAATCTCTCCTCCAAACTCACTTATCTAAAGTTTTTGGTTGTTTTAGCTGGGTGCAGTGGCTCATGCCTGTAATCCCAGTACTTCGGGAGGCTGAAACAGGAGGATCACTTGAGGTCAGGAGTTCGAGACCAACCTGGGCAACATGGAAAAACCTTGTGCCTCCTACTAAACATACAAAAATTAGGCTGCCAGGCACGGTGGCTCACGCCTGTAATCCCAGCACTTTGGGAGGCCGAGGCAGGCAGATCGCCTGAGGTCGCGAGTTTGAGACCAGCCTGACCAACATGGAGCAACCCCATCTCTACTAAAAATACAAAATTACCCAGACGTGGTGGCACATGCCTGTAATCCTAGCTAGTTGGGGGGCAGAGGCAGGAGAATAGCTTGAACCTGGGAGGCAGAGGTTGCGATGAGATCGCACCATTGCTCTCCAGCCTGGGCAACAGGGGCAAAACTCTGTCTCAAAAAAAAAAAAAAAAAAAAGATAGCTGGGCATGGTGGCGCATGCCTGTAGTCCCAGCTACTCAGGAGGCTGAGGCAGGAGAATCCCTTGAGCCCAGGAGGCGGAGGTTACAGTGAGCTGAGATCGCACCATTGTACTTCAGCCTGGGAAGAAAAAAATTTTTTTTAAACTCATTTTTTTTTTTAACCATTCAGATATATGGGATGTTTATAGATAACTACCAAGATAAATAATTACCATATCAAGATTCTAAATTTTAAAAACTACTTTTTCCCTTTGTTACGTTTAAGAAGCCTGTTCCAGGCCGGGGTGGTGGCTCATGCCTACAATCCCAGCACTTTGGGAAGCTGAGGCCAGGGGATGATGAGGTCAAGAGATCAAGACCATCCTGGTCAACATGGTGAAACCTTGTCTCTACTAAAAATATAAAAATTACCTGGGCGTGGTAGTGGGCGCCTGTAGTCCCAGCTACTCGGGAGGCTGAGGCAGGAGAATGGCTTGAACCAGGGAGTTGCAGGTGGCAGTGAGCCGAGATCACACCACTGCACTCCAGCCTGGGACAGAGCGAGACTCGGTGTCAAAAACAAAAAAAAGCCGGGCGTGGTGGCTCACGCCTGTAATCCCAGCATTTTGGGAGGCCAAGGCGGGCAGATCACTTGAGATCGGAAGTTCAAGACCAGCCTGGCAACATGGTGAAACTGTCTCTACTGAAAATACAAAAATTAGCTGGGTGTGATGGTATGCACCTGTAATCCCAGCCACTCAGAAGGCTGAGGCAGGAGAATCGCTTGAACCCGGGAGGCAAAGGTTTCAGTGAGCCAAGATCATGCCACTGCACTCCAGCCTGGGTGACACAGTGACACTCCGTCTCGAAATAAATAAGGGGGAAAAAAACAAATGTAAAAAACAAGTGAGTCTAAAAGTAGCAATAAATCATAATGCCTAAATTTGTGGGATTGGTGGGACGTGGTGGCTCCTGCCTGTCATCCCTGCACTTTGAGAGACCAAGGTGGGTGGATCACCTGAGGTCAGCAGTTCAAGACCAGCCTCACCAACATGGTGAAACCACGTCTCTACTGAAAAATACAAAAATTAGCCGGGCATGGTGGCAGACGCCTGTAGTCCCAGCTATTAGGGAGGCTGAGGCGGGAGAATGGCTTGAACATGGGAGGCGGAGGTTGCAGTGAGCCGAGATAACGCCACCACACCCCAGCCTGGGTGACAGAGTGAGACTCCCTCAAAAAAAAAGTTTGTGGGACCAATTACAGTTCAGTCCAGGGGAGCACACACTGGCGACCAACATCTCCCCCTCGGGCACCTTCAGGGTCGAAAGAGTGCGCCTGGAACAGACTGGGAAACTCCAGCAGGCAAAGCAAGGTTCCAGGAATAAAGACACTGCCTGACACATTCTCCACTCCCCCTCCACCCACCCCTCTCCCCACCACGCTTCCCTCCGCCTCCAACCCTGCCCTCTCCCCAGCAGCCTCAGATTGAAATCTTGCAAGGAAGACACCAATTCTCAAAGTCACAGGCTTAGGAATCTGAGCTACAAACAAAGATGAGGCCCTGCTCCCCCAGCTCCCCTCTACTCCCCTCGACACTGCTGCCCTGCACCTGCCCCTTCCTCCATAATTTGAACTGTCCTCCCAGAAGCTGGAGAGACGGCCGGCCTCTCAGGAAACAGGACCAGCATGCGGCAAATGCCTGGGGTAGGTAGGAGCGACAGCGAGATTAGCGCAGGGATGTAAGAAACAAGTTGCTCTCAGACCAAAGAAGACTGCGGGAGAGGGCACACTAGACCTTCACAGATGCGTGCGCTGGACAGGAGTTCCCGTTACCGAAAGAATTGTCTGAGAAAGGCTCTGACCTGACCCGAAAGGCCCTTGGTTCCCACGGCAACGCCCTAGGGTCTGGCAGTAACAGGCTCTGTGCCGGGAATCTCTGGGTCTGGGGGTCCCGCCTCCACCAGCCTCTCCCAGCCGAGGCACCTCCCATTGGCGCCTGATGGCTTAGGGAGGCTTTTCTTCCAGCTGTGACAGATCCAGCCTGAGGAGCGCTCCTGGGTCTTTCTTAGTTGTTTCTTCCCGCCCACCTGCCACTCAAAGCCAGAACCCACTTGCACGCCACCGTGTGGACACCTTAAAGCGACCGTCTAGGTCTGAAACGCGCTGAGGGAATGGTCAGCTTCGCTCCCATTAGATGGCTTGGCCCAAAGGACCTAGCGACTGCCCCGACAAAAATTTCTTCCTACGAGCTGCATGTGTCTGTGGCCTCTAAGAGTCAAAACCAAACCCAAAAGGAAAAGCCAACCCACCCCCACTGCAAAAACCAAAAACCACCACCCACCCACCTTTCATATGAGGAGTCCTTGAGAAGGGCTGCTTCAGCCAGGACCAGGAAAGGGAATCAGTGCACTTGGCGGGACCCAGAACACCCAGTGGCAGGGACCTGACCCACCACTGACACACAGATCAGGATGCATCACCCT